CCCCAAAACCCCAAAACCCCAAAACCCCAAAACCCCATATTTATAGCACTATATTGAAAACTTTGTGCTTGAAAGATTATTGGATGGCATCTCTATTTTTGAGAACGCTTTTTCGATTTCTTAATGCTAATGATGCTCTCTGCATTTCAGAACATTCATAGGAGATATTTGTGAGGGCTATCTGGCTTAAAAATCTCATTTCTAAAATTTAGGTCCAAATAAATACCTTATCATGGATAAGGGAATTTCATCCTCATCTTCGTTCAGGTTAAAAATTTTGAATAAGAAAGTAGTAAAATAATTAGCTACTTCCTCTCTTGTCTGAGATCCGTTAGATGCTTCAAACTAAACTTCAACTCTAAATCCTACCAAGGAAAGTTCTCAGATTTCTTTGATTTCTTTCTTATCTAAAAAGCCATTTCCGTCACTAAATCTCACATTATAATTCTTACCTATCAACGATGTCAAAGAAGAGTTCGATCTTGAGCTCTAAATCATCTGTGAAGATGGTCTTCATGCAGATTAAGAATTCTTCCCAGTCAAGGTATGCGTTGCTAAAATTTACCCGTCTATCCTACCAAGCCTTATTTTTGTTGTTCTTTGGGATTAACTTCTTGTTTACATTGGCTTTATCAAAAATTCTCTTGACTAGATCCTTGTTCTCAAGGGAAAGTTCACTGATGCCATTAATGAACACATCAAAGCAGACTCCTCTAACTTCTGTGTCATGTGTGTAAGAGACGGTAAGTTTACACAGAGATTTGTATAGGACGTAGAACTTCAGGATTTCTTCCCGTGTGAACCCATGCTTCTCTACCAAGGCTTCTAGATTTAGTGTGGACGGCACACCATATTCTTCATCCACCTTCTTTACAGTGATCAAATTTTTGTTCAGGTCTTTATTCATACTCACAAAGTTCTTTTGGATCTGCTTCTCTTCCTTCTCGTCAAAAGTATCCTCGCTGATGGAAGCAGAGAGACTCTTGTTCGCAACCAGTATTGGCTTGGTCTCCTTCTTCTCTGGAGGCTTGAAGATTCTGCTCCTTTTCTTAGATGCACTAGGGATCAGAAGTATATATACCTGAACACTTTGGATCTATTCGCTTTTATATAGTCAAGAGCTTTCTTTTTACAAATGTATTCCTGAACCAATCGCTTATCTTCCTCTTTCTGATATTTGGGTGAGTTTAGAGAAGCTTTTCTCTGAATCAGAGTGCTTGTGCTGTTCTTCAAGCTCATTCCAGATTTTACTGCCTATGAGAATGGGATGACTGGCTTACTTCTAGATAATCAATATTGTTATGCTCATCTTTTTCATGCTGAGTATTGGTCACGCTCTTTACAGACTGCTGGAACCTATTTGAGGATTATAAGAATCTTCGTTACCATTTATACTTATTTCTTGACTGACTTTTAAGATCCTTCTTATGCTCCTTCAACAGAATGTCCATTTCTTTGTAGTATTTCTCTAATTTTCTAAAGAAATAACTAGGCTTAGAGTACCTTTGTTTCTCTCTTTCCCTGAGCTTGAGAGTGTATTCATCGACCTTTACCTTAGACTTTCTCTTTTGTTCTATAGATATCGGTTGTAGGATTACCTTCCTTCTTCCTTTTGCGGTCTAAATATACCTTGTATTTGCTGTAAGGTGAATGAGAGGATTACTCGTCTTTAAGATTCATCAAGTGATAAGCCAGGTTCCATTCTCTCTCGAGGATTTTGCACTCCCTTCTGCTGAGAAAGAGTTGTTCGTTCATATTAAGCATATCATCTAGATGTTAATTGTTGGGATTTACTTTTTACTTTGACAAAGTCTCTAACTTGGTCTAAATCTTTGTCAAGTTGTTTGTATTCCTCTTGAGTAGCTTCGTTTACTTTCTCTATTTGCTGTATCCTATATTCTTATTAGATTCATATTAAACTAGCACTAATTCTCACTAATCCTCAGCCAACCCAAAGAAATAAGAAAATCTCATCACTTATTACCCTCAAAATAAACTCAAACGTTTCCAAATTTAAAAATTCGAAAACCTCCAAGTTCAGCACCTTGATCTATTGTGTCACTTACCTTTCATTTAGCCCATCATACTCATTCTTAAGAGCCGCGCTCTTAATAGCTCTATTGTGGTGTTCCTTCAGCTCTTTGCTCAAATGAGCTCCTTTCTCTTTCATACGCTTCACTTTAAAATGTTGGGCTTTTAACTTAGAATGCAGCTTCATTGGATTCCGAGTCTTTGGCAGAAAGCTAGAAGGCGAAGAAGGTAACGAGCACACTGTCTTTGCTCTTATATAGGGCTATTGCAACTGTTATGAGAGTATGCTATCAAATTTGAATTTTTAAAATTCCTTTTTCCTAGAATGTAAGAACAAGACTTACTTATTATTTGACGTTTGGAAGGAATTCTGGAATAACTTTGAGCCATCTTCGAGTCCAAATTCACGGTGTAGGGATTTTCAGTAATTATTGACCCACGTTTTACTACAAATAAATAAACTCAGAAGCTTACACTTATGTATATGCTCAGGACTCTTATGCTCTCTGATAAGTTGTTGAGCATTCTGGAGTGATTCAGTCTTGATCGGTACAACTCTAGATCATTAATAAGTATCAATTTACTTGTTAATCCTGATTATCCGATCGGCAGAAAATCATGGAGGTCTATTTTTGCATGTGGTGATCATCATGGATACTTTTTAAGACTTTCTGAGCCTTCTTCTCAACAATCTTCTGAAGATTTGGATGGTTATTCAAGTATCTGTTCATTAGATGTGTGAATTCATTCTGTGAGGAAAAATTCTTCTGGACCTCAGAATATAACTCATTCTCGTCAATACTTGAAGAATGGTATGATAAATCAGAACAATTGGATGATCTATTAGAGTTATCTGCTCCCATTTCATTGTGAATCCTTCTTCCAACAATATTTGCATTTTTGCCGGTTTGTATTTCTTTTTGGTATGAGGATACATCTTGTCCTCCCTCTGTAAGAGGGTTTCCAACGGGACCTCCATTTCTTGCGTTATTTTACTAAAGACATTGCCATATCCTTCTTCTTTTCTTCAACTTGTTTTTCAATTTCTCTTCTTTGAAGCCTCTCAATTTTGCGTTGCTCGTTAAGAACTTTCTTATAAATTTTCGCTACTTTTATTTGTTTATCAGGATTTAAGACAGCTTCTGAGTGGCAAGTCTGGGGCATCCCAGGTTTGAGTCCTTTCACACCTCTTCTCTTCTGCCTGGTAACTACCTTCCTGAAGCCTTTGAAGAAGGGGCTCCTAGATGCGAACAAAATATTTTCAGATGCTGGGATGTCGTTTAAATTATTAATTAGAGTACCGTCTTTAAGGAACAAGTTATTGAGTGGCTTGCTCTGTTTAAATCTCTTTGTGATTTCATTCATAAAAATTTGTAAGTCTTCCTCATTTTTAGTAACTTCTTTATTATACTCCTCTACATCTTGGAATTTGAGATTGCGATTTGTTACATTGTTAGGTATCTCCATGACTATTTTATGGTATCCACCTCACTCAATTACTGTGCCATCCAGAAAGACATTTATTTCACGGAATGGGATATATTGGAGATCAGGATTTAGCCCATCCCCAGCTGTTTGGATGTTTCGTTCTAAATCTCCAGGTGTGCTCGGTCTAGAACGCATCACTATCTTTGGGACTTACTCTGATGTTGTGTGGTGATTTCTGATATTTAACCTGCTTTCGAGACTTTGGTTTGATTGAGTTCTTTTGAAAGTAGAGCCAGCACTGAACTTCCTGTGGCACATCTTATTCATCTCTTCAAAGTTAGATATCTTATGGAAATTATTCTTAAAATTTAGAGAGGAATTCTTGTATCTTCTAGATTCTTCCTCAAGTTCTTCTGCCAACATTGCTACAATATAATAACAAGACTCTTACCTCTTGAAGAATTTGGGTGTGAAAAATATTCATTAATATCGTTAATGTCGAAATACATGTCAAGTGGCTGGATTTGGTAAGGATGTAACACTCTCGCTTTTCCATCCTTATTTACCGATCCAAAAACAGTCTTTGTATTAGCATGATCAAAAGCAGCATTAATATAAGTGCTTCTTGTTGGGCAGGATGTCTCATCCAGAGGGGTTAGAGTATTCATGCTAAAATTTTATTTTTCAAAATAGAATTATTATATTGGGGTTTTGGGGTTTTGGGGTTTTGGGGTTTTGGGG